CATTTAAGTTATATGTGTTCATTTGTTATGGCTTGGATCTGGAATGTTCCCCAAACACTCTTGTGTTAAAGTCTTGGTTCCCCAAGGCACTAATGCTCAGAGGTGGGGCTTTTAGGAACTGATTGGATTATGAAGCACTAAATTCGTCATTGGATTAATCCATCTGGTGGATGAATGGTTTGAATGGATTATAAGTAGGTGGTGGAAACTATAGGACATAAACCCTAGTTGGAGGAAGTAATACACTGGGTGTGTGCTCTAGAAGGGTATATTTTGTCCTTAGTTTCTCTTCTTTTTCTCTTCTCTTCCCTCTCTCTCTCTTCTTTCCTGCCTTCCCCAACTCTCTGTTTCTATGAGCTGAGTAGCTTTCCTCTACCATGCCCTTCTGCCAAAATGTACTGCCCTGCCTCAGACCCAAAGCAATGGAGCCAGCCAACCATGGAATGAAATCTCTGAAACAATGTGTGAAAATTAAAATTTCCTCCTTTAAGTTGTTCAAGTCAAATATTTGGTTCACAGCAAAGAAAAACTAACACATCTTTCAAAGCCCATACAGTTGGTAAAGTTATGTTTTTTGAGCTCTATCTGTTGCTTTTATCATTTATTTGGCATCAAAATATTGCACAAGGATATAAGCCTTTATTGGGAGACTTGCTTCACGAATGGATTATAAAGGTGAAAGAGAATCCAACTCTGTTCATGAGGGATTTATCATCTAGGAGGGAGGGAAAAAGACAAGTGAATCCATCATTAGTGTTATGAGATTCTATGATAAAATTAAGGTTGTTGACTTTACTCATGCTTGTACATTGAGCACCGTGTAACCAAATGCCGCATCCCCTGCGTGTGCAAACAAACCGTTGCGGTGCACAGAAAGCAGAGGATTTAGCTTGAAGGAGTCAATAAAGATATATAAATAACTGTTATTCAGGTGCATCTTGAAGAATGAAGAGCAATCAAGAAACTGAGAGAAGGGGAAGGGAGCCTGAAGTACATATAAATTTTTAGCAGAAAATGGGAGTTGTGTGAGGGCAGCGTTGTTGAAAGTCTGTGGATGAAATAAAGTACAGAGGACTACGCTTGCAATACTGTGGAGTGAGGATTTTGTGAGAGGTCAAGAAACACAGGAGGCTTTTAGAAAGAAAAAAAGGATCAGGCTGGTGTTTTAGATGAAAAATTCAGGCAGGGAGATGGATTAATCTTTAAGTATCTGTTTTACAGGACTTTTCAACAATATTTGGTATTATTAACTATTCCTTCTTGGAAGCATTTGTATCTCTTGGTTTCTGTGGCACCACACTTTTTGGCCTTTCTTCTTTTTCTCTGGGTGCTCCTTTGGGGATTGCCTTCAAAGTTAAGACCTCTCAGAATTCTGATATGGGCTCTTTGGTTTTTCCTGTTCTGCACATTTGCCTTCTCATTATCCCAGCTCCACCTCTCTGATCCAGATTGTTCTCCTAAGCCCTAGATCTGCATGTACCTGAATGCCTGACTAAAGCTCATGAAGTCAAAACATCCAAAATGAATTCGTGACTTTGCAAAATGCCTTTAGAAGTCATGACACTTTCACGGAGGCAGGCATCATTCATTCTGTACAAAAGGGTAAGTGCTCCAGCTCTATTGGTTGTATTTATTCATTTGCTTAACAGGTTTTCTTAGAGATCTACAACTGGGAAAGATCTATGTGAATATAAGCATACTTAAGGCAAGATTACTGCCTGACTAGAGTTGAAGCTATTTATATGAAGTTTATGGTGTGTCAGGAACTACTGGATGTTACATCACTTATTTCTCACAATTCTTTGGATGGACATTATTGTTGTATACGTTCAAGTGAGGACATGAGGCTCAGAGATGATTCCAGTATCACACAGTGAGCAGTGGCAAAACACAACTGAACCCAGATAACTCAATTCAAGATAGTTTAGACTGATACTAAAACCCATGTTCTTTTTTTTTTTTTTTACACCATATAACTCTGAAATTAGGGATTCCCAAGGACAGGCATTCCAATACCCCTCATTGGAATATCTAATTCATAGGATATCTATTTTGTCCCCGCCAGGAACTCTTTCGTCCCACCCTATTCTATCCTAGAATCTAGATCCCACTTTCAATTCTTCCCTGACTCTATTTAAAGTAACCATGAAAGCATTTATTTTTTTTTAATTTTTATTTTTTAATTTGTTCTTTTTTAGTTATACATGACAATAGAATATATTTTGACATATTTATATAAGCATGGAGTACTTCTTATTCTCATTAGGATCCCAGCCTTGTGGTTGTGCATGATGTGGAGATTCGCTGTAGTTTATTCATATATGTACATAGGAGAAAGCATTTATTTGATATCAGTGGATTGAAATTTACTTGTTGAAATATTTATTGTATTAACCAAGAGCAACAGAACCAACAGGGTGTGTGTAAGTGTGTGTGAGTGTATGTGTGTCTGTGTATGAACATACATATGAAAAAAACCACGTGTATATATATATATTCTATATAGGAAGAAATATAAAGAATTGGCTCACATGACTGTGGAGTTTGGTAGGGTGAGTCAGCAAACTGGACACCTAGCAGAGTCATCAAGTTAGTTCCAGTCCAAGTATGAAGGCCAAAGAACCAGAAGAGTCAGGTGCAGTTCTAGCTTAAAAGCCAGTAGGCTTAAGACCCAGGAAGACTCAATGTTTCAGGTTGAGTTCAAAGGAAAAAAAACAGTGCCCCCATTCAAAGACCAGAAAAGAGAAAGTTTTTTTTTTTTTTTTTTTTTGTTTTGTTTTGTTTTTCATTTGTAGGAGGGCCAACCTTTTTTCTATTTGGATGAAGCTTGCCTATATTACAGGGGTTGACCTGCTTTCCTCAGACCACTAATTTATATGTGTATCTCATCCCAAAGCCTCTCACAGAAATAATATTTGACTGAATTTCTGGATTACCTGTATCCCAGTCAAATTGATGCATAAAATGAGCCATCACCTTTATGATACAGAAATCATGTCTGTAGAGAACCTCATCATGCTCCCTTTAGTGAAGATTGACAAAGACCTAGTGACTATAACTCTTCAATGTGTTACTCAAATATTTATTGAATATGCCCAGTACATTATGATCTTGGCCTTTAATTGAAAAACCACTTTACAGTTTTGGTGATGATGATGATGAAGTGCAAGTCACTTAAATTCTCAACAGTTGTATTTATGGATCAAGACATTTCCTTTAATGTTATTTTATAGGCAAGAGGGAAAAATCTGCAAACATATTTTGGATAACATACAAGTTTGTCAGGGTCTTGAGTTACTCCACATCAGAATACAGGAGTATCTATGTTAACATGGAACATTTACACTTTTTACAAGCAGGACTTGGGGAAGTTTCAAAATGTCTGGAAAACAGATTGTGCATAAAAATATTCATAGGGGAATGATGAGTGTATCACAGTTTCCCCAGGGAACAGGTTAGTAGACAGGACTGATTCAGAGGCAGCCTTTGACAAAAAGAAAAGTCTTTAAACTTTGCAGTCTGCTGCTGCAGGAGTTTGGGGCAGTAAAATGGAGGGTGGGCAGCATCTCCTCCTCTTACCAGCTTGCTGAAAATTCAAGCCCTCCTTCCAGTGCCGGACCAGGGAATAAAGCCAAGACTTGAAAAGGCAGCTGAGAATAGAAACACTGTTCCATTTTGCTTTAAGGGAAGGTACTTAGCTGGAGCATAAAATACCTGGGAACTTTCTTTTGGGTGACTTTGGTTGGCAAATTAAGGGTCAAGTGCTTGTGACATTAGTCCTTTGGCAGCCCTCCCCACCAATCCAAGTCATATAATCACATCTTACAGTTAGAAGCTCATCTAGGAATTGACTGGTTTCTCTTTCCCTTACAATTAAGAATATGGGAGTTCATCAGGTCTGGTTGGGCCTTTTATCTCACCATGGTAGAACCAATTTTAAGAGGCTAGTGTTTACCTCTTCAGGGATGTTTCTGGTTTTTATTTATTTATTTATTTATTTGTTTGTTTGTTTATTTATTTGTTTATTTATTTTTGAGTAGAGCAAGACTGAGTTTTTCCCCATCACCCTTATGCCATTGGAAGAAGTGGTTTCATTTTTCTTCTTCACAGTAGCAGCTTAGGAACATAGGTGATTTTTTCATTTGATTTACTTTATTTAACAAATATTTGTTGGTATCTAAACACTGTGAGTGGTATTAGAGGTAAAAGGTGATAAACGGGCAAGGGCTCCTTTTCTCCTGGAGTTTACAGTAACTTTGTTATTTTCATAATATTTTTATTATTTAAATCTTTTATATTATATAATTTATCAGCATAATGAAAAACTAACAAAAGAAATTACAGACTTCCTCTCTGCTATCCTATCTTGACTACTTCCCTTAAAATTTTTTTCATACCATTATCTTATCCCTGTCTTTTAATTTAGTGTTAATTATTATATATGTTTTGCATTCAACTTTTTCTTTGTAAATGATCTTTGCAAACTCTTCTCTATGAATGTTACATCACAAACATCTTTCCTTTTGCTATGTTTAAAACTATAATTTTTATAAATACAGGTGGCTTAGCTATGTAAAACTATAAAGTTCTAATAAAAAGAAAAAATGCATACAGGTAGATTATAAAATTTATTAACTTATTCCTTTGTTTGGGGGCATTTAGTTGTATACAATTATGCAATGAATAACATCAAAGGTAGTTTTTATTTTTCTTGCACTGTGTCTAAATTCTGTAAGTTGGAGTCATTAGATGTTTTTCTTCTGTGAGGAGTAAGATGAGGAATGAACTGACATATTTTGAGGTCACTCAGATTTATCTAGAATTCCAACTGATTTTAGAAAAAAAAAACAGCATGAAGCACAAAACCCGAACCTGATGCATGATACAATAATATTTTCCTCTTTCTTTATTAAACATATGAAAGAAAGGAGAGGGAGATATTTATAAATATACAAGTCAACAGGACAACATGCATATGAAAAAAAGATACTTGGAAACTATTGACAGGGTTTTAAAATGCATTTTTCCAAGTTTAAGTTATGCTTACATTGTCACATTCTGGCCTACTGAAATGCTAAAATGTGTCATTATTAAAAAGACCATAATATTCTGTAAAACAGAATCACTTTTGCCCAATCTTGTGATAGTTCCACTGTTGATTGGTATGCCTTCCTTTGCCAACAATAGTCTTCTTCCATCTTGTAAAAATAGGTACGCCTTAAAGGAAGAAAACGTCTGTGCCATTTTACTGCTATTAGGTTGCAAACCAAACCAAAGGGTTATGGATGGGGAAATGGTGATAGTTTTTCCTGCTGAGGTCCCTCAGTAGGGAATGTCTCTAATGAAAAATAAGCAAGATTTAATAAAGAGCAGGATACAATAAAGCAGTTACGTTGAGCTGTGTGTGCTTCTTCTGGAGTTCAGTGATTCTGGGCGGCCTACTAGACTGAATCGCCAGCAGCTATTCATTTGCTCACTTTCTTGTCTGCCACAGCTGCCAGCAGCTGTTCTTTCATACTCCACATCCAGATGCAAACAGCTGTTTTTTCTTTCTTCACAGTTGTCAGCAGTGGCTCATTTTTATCCTGAATACATGGACACCTGTGGCAATAGGAATTTTATTTTTCAGTCATGAGGAAATACTGGAAAGCTTCAGAAAGGTTGAATGGGGAAAGGGGAAGAGGGAATAGGAGGTGATGAGATGTAGAAAGAGCCTGTGGTGGCAGGCTGGAAGGTGGATGGAATTCTCCCAGTTGTTTTTCAGGGGCTGCATAAGTCTGTAACAAGAGATATCTCTACTTCTTCCTTACTGTGACATTCACCTTGGAAAGCATGGGATCATCACAAACCAATACCAGGAAACTAAGCAATTGGGAAGCAATTATGATGGTGGGCTTTCTAAGGACTTGTTTTTCACTCCCATGTCGAAGAAGTATTTATGGATATTCACCATTTGCTAGGCAACTGTTATAGACAAAAAAAAGTTGCTAAATAAATGAGCAGGCATTTATGGATGTATACAATTGTATGTCCACACATTCTTATCAGTCCTGTCTCTGCTAAGGATAACAAAAGTAATGGTTTAATTGCACTTTCTGTGTTGAATTCATCCTTTTTTTCCCTATGAGATTGTTGACCTTTGAATTATTGCCTCGAACATGAAATATTCCTGCTTCTTGTCTATCTCTGTTTTTGTAGGGACTAGAGAGAAAAAGGCGAAAGGGAAGAAAGAAAACTTGCATTTACCTAGGACTTACTGTATCATTGTTCTTCACCTGGGTTATCTTGTTTTAGTTTCATATGAAACAGGAAATAGTCATTACTGTTCCCATCTAGCTGATGAGGCAACTGGAATTGGAAGTGTGAAACTGCTTATCTATAATCAAATAGTCAGAATTCTCCAGCTCACCACTGAGATTTATAGAATTAAAACTCTGTAAGTCTGTGAAAAATATAGCTCAAGAGACAAAAAGGAGAAATTACTTCAAAGTTATTTATTGTCGAATTGCATACAATTTGTTGCTCCAAATAATATGAAAATTAAAATCATAAATTTAAATGATTTTAAAATGATAATTTTGAAGATAGGGATAGGGAAAATGCCAGACTCAGACTCCCTCACTCCAAAGTACAAGATCTTTTCACCCCAACATGCCTCTGTACATGATTTTCCTTCGTATTCTTGGAGCAGCAGAGAATGCTAAAAGTGATAACTAGGCTTAATACTGTGGTTGTGAAAGCAGATGTACAATTGGTTTAAAACCTTTACTTTCAATTGGAAATTTGTTCAAAATTTCACTTCACCAAGCTTCAGGGAACTGCCATAAAAGGTGAAATAGAAGACAAGATACGGAGACCTCAGAGCTAAATTGTTGTCACAAATAAAATGTTTACACTGCTCCTCCTACCCCCTTGGCTCTTCTCTGTTAAAAGAAGGTTTGAAAGAGTATTGACTGAAGTATGGGAGGACTTGATATCCTCATGCCACATCCAGACTCCATCCATTACAGTCCAAAGGATGTTAGTGGTTATTCTTTGTAATAGTGAGTGGGAAGGAACTGGCTGAGGCTCTAAGAAAACTTTCGATGGTTTAGGGAGCCATTAAGAAAAAGCTCCCTATTCTTGTAAAAATTGCCCAAACTTTCAGGACCAGGTTTCTGTGGCTGGCCAAGAGTCAGCCTCAGTTAGAATCCTGCCAAATTGAGCATCAACAGCTCATTTGGCTAGGGAGAAAAAGAAATGAGAAACAACTGACATTTGTATACTTGAAATTATGAGCTGTTTCTCTAACAAAGAGACCAAACACTTTCGACTTGTTTTACAGTAAACATACACATTGAACAATCTGGTTGGCTGGCAGCTGGCTGAGCATATGTAGGGCATATGTGAACACATATGGATGCATAAAATCACATATGTTCACTTAAAAGGACACTGTCAAGTCATTTTATGGCTTTGTTTGTTCTCTGGGCTCCATTGTTTATAAAATCTTCTTAGAAGCTTAAAAATACAATTTCTTTCCCTACTGATTTTTGTTCTTTCTTTCTTTCATACAGTATTTTGAATGGCACTCAAATAAATGGGACTGGTTCTTTTTAAAGCCTAATTCTACTTAAACCTATACAACAACAAAGCATGTTGCCCAATTGGAAATAAAGCACTCTCTGAGACAATTCCTATGAAGAGAAAAATAAGCATATTCTGCCTTTGGAGTAGATGTTTCTACTTTTATTTTCAAGTTTTATTTTATGTGCAAATCTTGAAAGATTATATTGCTTTTATAGATTTTAGTTTGTGTTCGATACTACATATAGAAGTTTCTGACTATGATAAATCTTATTTTTTTCTACTTCCTAAAATGTGTTTGAGCAATATTCTTTTAGCTTCTTCACTAAGAAAAAACTCTTTATTAAAAAAATCCTTGGTTTGGGAAAAAGTCACAAGGGACCAAATCAAAATGTCCAGAGCCTGAAAAGATGGTAAAATATCACAGTCAGGAAAACAAAAAACCAAAATAATGATGAATACTCATTTTTCACCCATCAGACTGGCAAAAAGTAGAAGAGCAAAGCCATGCATAGCTAGTAAAGATATGAGAAAAGAGGCACTTCCATACCAAAGAGTGAAGAGGAGCAGTACTTGTTGACCTAAAAGGATTACCAGCTGGTGTTACTGAGAGAGAAGCAAGATGAAAGGAAGAGAAATAATGTGAGCCCATCTCGGCAAATCCATGACCCAAAAGAACCTCAATATGTATTTATTTGTTTGTTTCTTTCTTTCTTTTTGGCAGTGAGGGGAGTTACTGGGGATTGAACTCAGAGGCACTCAACCACTGAACCACATTCCCCAGGTCTATTTTGTATTTTTATTTAGAGACAGAGTTTCACCGAGTTGCTTATGCCTTTCTATTGCTGAGGCTGGCTTTGAACTTAACGGTCCTCCTGCCTTGGCCTCTTGAGCTGCTGGGTTTATAAGGTCACCACACTCAGCTCATTTGTTTCTTTATAATCTATTTGTCATCATCATCATCAATCTGTATAAGGTTATATCAGGGGAAAAATATGGATAGATACACACTAGGTGGATAAAATGAGTTTCCTGAAAGGGGAGGGACGAGAGGTGTGGAAAACTCGGGCAGTGTTCAGGTGAGAAAGCTTAACCAAAAGGGAAGAATTAAAAGGAAAACATCTGGTATGAAAGATATAGTCACATGTATGCAAAAATTATATGTATGTGTATATGTAAAGGGATTTTTGAAATAATTATTACATTCAACATTCCCATCCTCTAGTTTTCAGGATCTCTATAGACAGAGGAAGATGTGAAAGTGGTAGAAGACGTCATAATGGAGAAAGCAGAACTTGGGGGTTGGCTGAAGATCTTTAGGAGTTTCCAGTGAAATACCAAGAGGAGTAGGTTGCATTCAAGCAGTTCAAGGTACTGGTGCCACCAAGTGGTGTCTGGAGCAATTGTTGGTGGTATTTTGTTACCCCGCCAGTGACAGAACTTCTTGGTTTGTCTGTGCCTCCTTGGTAACAAGCAGAATGTGGAAGGCTCCCATTGTTTCTGGGATGAAGTACATGCTTGTGATCCTGTCACTCACTTGAACAAGAAGTATGAAAGATATGCAGAGAGCAAACAGTTTTTGCCCTAGAATTTGAGCAACCCCTGTTTTTTTCTTGCTGGCCGGTGCTCTGTTGTGTCTGACCTTTACCTGTCAAGTCTTAAGAGGTGTGCAATAATTTCTAACTACTTGGACTAGTTTTACAACTTGTATGACATAACTGCCTAATCTCTTATATAGGTTTTCTGTTTTTATTGCCACCATTGTAACCTGGCCTGTCATTATTTTTTTTTTTTTCCTGATGCCATAGAACACTCTCAGGCTTTTTTGGACTCAGTCACCCTCTGCTCTAGTTCAAACATAATCCACTTCTATACTAAGCTTCTTGAAGTTCTGGTGATTTAATACTTAAAAGTCTTCAATTGTTTGTCCCTGCTCACTGGCAAAGTCTGAGCTTGGACCACAAGTTTTTGATGGGGGTGACTTCAATGTCTTCAATTCCCAGGGTGATTTCAGTTTACTTCTGTTGTCCCAGTGTAACTAGTGAGTCTTTATTAACTCTTGAAAGTGCCTTGGTTTGAAAAGTACATTATATGGATGCCCAACCACTACTTACTTTGTTCTCCTGCCACTGATACATGTGATAAGCAAGCTAAGAAATAAATGTCTAAAGTTTGAAGTGGGTGTTGGAATTGGACCCATGTGGGTAGGAGTCATATTTGAATGTGTGTTTAACTTTTTTCTTTGATCATGCAAAAGCTAGATATAAATTATTTGGGATTTATTACTCCATTTAAATGTTTTTTTTCTTCTGTCATTAAGTGATAAGTGGAATCTTGAATTCTAGTAAAAACAATCTTTTTTTTTTTTTTTTGTACTGGTGATTGAACCAAGGGATACTTAGCCACTGAGTCTCATCTCCAGACTGTTTCTTTTTAAACATTTTTTTTTTGAGGCAGGGTCTCACTAAGTTGTGTAAGACTTTGCTAAGTTTCTGAGGCTGGCCTTAAATTTGTGATCCTCCTGCCTCAGTTTCCTGAGCCGCTGGGATTATAGGCATGGGCCATCATGCCTGGCCTCTTTTAGTTTTTCACAGGAAAGAAAAGTTCTGTGTGGGACCTGAAGAACACTCCACTCAAAATTTTTTACAAAATATCAATAAAATATTCAGCTAAATACTGATACAAATTTGCTAAAAATTTTGAGGAGGTACAAATGCTTGTACTGTAAGCTCCTGCATCACTAAGTGTCACATTTTCTACCCTAATTAGTGCATGCTTGGAGCAATTTCTTCCAGTTAGTAGAACTGAACTTTCAGTACTGCATTCTGGTTTCAGTATTTTCTATTTCTGTTTGCTACATTTGGGGTTAACTTGTTAATGGTTGAATATGTACAATTAAGGAAATGCTTTGTCTTTAGGCCCTGTTAGTAGGAATGCACTGAGTTTTTCCTATACTAGGAGAGAATTTGGGTTCAGCCACTCATTTTTTTCTTCCCTTTCATAACTAGTCAAATACATCTTCAATATCATCATAG